TTAATAAAGAAGTTAATCAGGAATTACTGTCTCTGGGCAATACAGTCTCTTTTATGACTGCATGTTTAATTTTTCTTTTACCTGCAATCACCTATACACTTCTCTGCACATCAAAATAGAAAATAGCAGGTGACATTGCAGTCATTCTGTAGGATCTAAAATAGTACAGTCATAATCACACGATAGTCAGGGTATGAAATTATCTCTCTTTTACCACTGACCTGAATACATTTTAAGGAAGGTGAACATAATTAAGTGTGGATCAGTGTTATTGGGGACTTTCAAATGTGCTTCATTAAGAATGACGGATGGAAATTCAAGTGTTCATTTGATACTCAGTCACTGGCGAATAGAGGTCAAATCTCTGCTCATTACTTTCTACCAGGAAAAGTTAGGCATTTGCCTATAGAACATTAGTATTTATCAAAATATATGTAATTGGTAATAATAGTAATATTTTAGGTATTCACTCAAAATAACAATATGTGGAACAAAATATCCACTGTTTAAAATTTCATGGATACTAAAATTCCCAGAGCAGTAATCCTATAAATGCATTAGGGTGAAAGTCAAGCATAATTCAAGTATCTTTTTTATTTACAGCAAGAGGTAAATCATTCTTTATAATACAGCGCAAATTGTCAGATAGACATTGATGGACACACTAACAGACAGGGTCACTATCTGATAGGTATTACAGTTTGGCCAACTCTATTCCCTCTATTGTTCGTTGGATAAAGTGCATACTGAAAGTACTGAAATACCTGGGATCAGGTCATCTGCGGACGGGTGGCCATATTCTTCCTCACCATTTTACCTTTACAGCAGTGGATCAGGGCCTATCCTTCACCTAGATTCTACCCTAAGCTGAGGCTGTAAGGAGGTTGTGAACATAGGAAGAAACATAGAATCATAGAAGACTGACAGCAGAAAAAGACTAACAGGGTTATTCACAAAAGGGTGAAGAGTTTGGAGAAGGCAGGAGAAGTGAACAATCTAGGAAAACATAGCTGAACTGGAAAGTGAGTTGAATTGGAGAATTTTTCCAAATCAGCTAGTTTGGCCTAGATTGTTCACTTCTCCTGTCTTCTCCAAACTCTTCGCCCTTTTAGAGAGGCAGAGCCAGCTTTCAATCAGGTAACGCGGCTGTGCGCTTATAGCGGGTAATGGCCTGCTTTATGCTAAGTTCTATGTCACAGGAGGACATTAGTATATGTCCTCCTGTGACCCTAAGGAGAAATATGGCAAAAAAAGGTTGGCCCATAGTTCTCTTTTAAATTCACTTAGGACTCATTGATTTACTCGCTCTGCTGCAAGTGTGTTTCAAGCATCCACAACTTTGAAGGGACCATATCTAATACGGTCCTAGATAATTATTATCTCTCTGGAAGGCCTGTATCATCACTCTTGCACAGGCAGCACAGGTAGATATATAAGGTAAGCATATTTTTACTATTCTCCTGTATGATTTTATTTAAACTCAAAGATTCTACTATACAGCATCATAAGGCCTATGTTGACTCAGAAAAGCCACTCTTGGACAATATTTTTTAGAGTATTGGACCTCAGTAGCAGAGAGCCAAAGGCAGTTGCTATAGAAGTTGTTCCCTTTAAACTGTTTTTTTCGTACCATGTGCCTCTGTTACCTGCCAGAAAAGAAACCATAATCCCTGTTTTGGAGTTCAGAAATGACTGTTGTGAAAAGGGCAAGTAAATAGATATATTTTAATGTTTAATTGCACTTTACTTTCCAGAATAGTTCTCTCAGGTATCTCACTGATATGGCATCTTTGCTTGACCTCTTTTGCATCATATTTAATATGACCAAGGTTGACAGATAAAGATTATCTGTATTTTCTGCTCACATACTTTCCTAGAGTCAAATATCTCAGAAATCTTATCTTGTGTAGACTTATTTACGCATTTATCTACTTTGGACTTCTGTTCTTCATGTACATATTTTTATGATAAAAGATTGGTACCATGTTTCTACACCCATATGGAAGCATACTTTGACCTCTAGTTTGACACATGACAACACTATTGCCAGGATATATCAGATATATTTTCTCTTGATATGTGTGTCCTAAGTAGTGTGTAATGCTTGGAGGTATTTATTACCTCTCAGAGAAGTCACAGTATTCCACTTGACAATGCCTTCACTAGAAATCCAGTGACAGGAAATAATGTAAAAAATCAAGGCACCGCCCCTCACTGCTTGAATACAGCGGATACTAGCCCGCACGCTAAAATGGCCCATTACGTGCAGGCTGGTGTGACTCACCCCTAATACATGTGCATTTTCTCAGTGTTTAAGCCTGTTACAATCTCTTAATTAGTGGTTAAGGGTATACAAGTATACAATGATACATAAGCCCTTAAGTGTTTTAAGTAGTTTTGGGTAGCTTAACCTACAGCATCCACTCAACACTGAGAAACCTGTTTTAATAGGCTTATGCTTTCAAGTGGACCTAAATCAAAAAGTACACATTTGTTATAAGTAACTTCTACAAATGTTAAATGCACAGTGCCCTAAATCTACCATTTGTCTGCTATTCCTGTGTCTAGGGACTCTGTTCTTACAGCCTTAAAGCTATACATCTACAGTGGGAGCTAAGGCACTGATGCCTCTGAATAGTCCAAGAAATTTGGAGGGAGATTTGCTGATCTCATTACTGTGTTTCTCACTGTTCTCCTTGCTGGAGAGGAGGATGTAAATTAGGGATTGCAGACAAAAATCTCCCTGCTTCTGTTTCATTCATTCTGTGGATCTGTGCTTTCTGGGCCTCCCCTGCTGCTGCTAGATTTTTTTCTCCATCAATCAGCAGATCACCAGCCCTTAGTGGAGCATCTCTGACATGAGGAAGCAAAGCCTAATTAATGGTGTAGAACAAGGCATGATTAGTCCGAGAAATGGGGAAAGGATCAACTGCACAGAGACCACAGGCAATACAGGTGACTAGTCCTTTGTTCTTTGCTTACCTTTATGGGCAAATCTTCCACAGTTCGACTCGTCTTTAAAAAAATTGAATTGATTTGGTATAGTCTGATTTTTAATTGTATTTCTGTTTTTACTTATAATACAGACTGCAGTTCCATACATCACCTCTCTGGATCTTCAGGAAGCATTACCAGTTTAAATTACCCTTCAAACTATGAAGATAATAAAATATGTGCATGGGAAATAACAGTTCCTGATAACAAAGTAAGTGATTACAGATTTATACAGTTTCCAGCGTTAATAAGAATCTAATCTGAAATTAATACAGAATGTATTATTATTGAAGTCATGTATCTAGTTTTGCAGTTAGGCACCTATTTGGAGGTAAACACAGGGGATTTCAATCTGATAGCCATAGAACGGCTTGATATGAAAGAAGTTCATGTGGGAGATCGTGGGGTCATTACTGCCTTAAATAACCATGAATGGTTCTGCGGTTCTTGGTCAGAACCAGGCTGGGAATTAAATGCAGTCCTGATACTTAAGAGAAACCAGGCTGAATGTATTTACATGACCAAATTTTACCTAACATAATAGAGCAACCATGATTTTTTTTGTGGCACTGCTGCTTAATAAGTAGTATTATATTGGGAAAATGTAAATCCTTCACATTTAATATGAAACCAACCAGCCCGAGGAATCTTATTCCTTAAACATATCCTGAGACTTTTTGATAAAAGCCAAAGTTCCCAGTTTGTCAGTCTTGGCCTGGTAGCCATACCTCCTTATCTCCAAATATGTAAATATTTTAAAAGCAAATTCAGTTGTTTTGCAATTAGGAAATTCTGCACAACCTAACTCATTCAAGTGTTGGTTTGTCAGGTTCATTCCCTGCTCAACACACGTTTCAGTATTCGTATGCAGCCCTTATTACTTGTTTTAAAAATGTAAGTAATATTTGTTCAGGCAATGTTTCTAGTCACCACTAAAATATGGCTCATACATGGCAACCCGAATGTGTATTCTTTAATACCAAGAGGGATAAGTATTGTGCTATACTTTATGTATTATAAATGGCTTCTGCTACCAAAGTTCAGGTCTTATGATCTGACAGTTAAGAGCCAATTGGGTTAATTTACTAAAGGCAAACAGGCTATTTACTTTGCAAGGTAATTTGCACTTTGCACTGAACGTTTCCCCTTTGCTTAGTGAGATAGGTGAAGCTCTGCTGACTTCCATCATGCAATCATGTGCAAGAAAAAATGCAGGTTTTTTTTAAGTTTCTTTGCTCATGATTGGTTATTCTTCACAAAATCAAATTTCCCCACATTTAATAAGCTAAGGGGAAACTTCCTTTGCAAATGCAAATTCCCTTGCATTGTGAACAGCCTATTTGTCTTAAATCGTAAATCAACCCCTATATATCGGTTCACCTGGTCTTTCTACAGTTAATATCAATAAAGCCTCCTGCGTTCTGGGGTGGGCATTCTGGCACGGTTAGTGGCCGAAACACACTGGATCGCATAAATAAAGCCTCCTGCATTCTGTGGTGTGCATTCTGGCACGGTTGGTGGCCGAAACACACTGGGTCGCATAATTAAAGCCTCCTGCATTCTGGGGTGGGAGGGGGTGTGGTGATGCCATTCATGTCAATAGCACTGCCGCTATGCCTCGCCCCCATATTGCAATCGCCCTTCAAACTATGAAGATAATAAAATATGTGCATGGGAAATAACAGTTCCTGATAACAAAGTAAGTGATTACAGATTTATACAGTTTCCAGCGTTAATAAGAATCTAATCTGAAATTAATACAGAATGTATTATTATTGAAGTCATGTATCTAGTTTTGCAGTTAGGCACCTATTTGGAGGCAACAGGGGATTTCAATCTGATAGCCATAGCACCAGAATATGGTACAGCAATGCTAGATTTACTAGCAAAGAACAGAACGATTATATAAAACTGGCACAGGTTTTTTTTCTCAGTTTGATGTACTCACCTTAGTTTAATAAGTGTGTGTGTAAAATAGGTTATAACTTGTACAAACTGTTTTGCAGGTAGTCCACTTGTGGTTCGTAGAGGTCCATGTAGAAAGCAGCACTCTTTGTAGTGAAGATCGAATCACTGTAGAAGATAACGTGGGAGTGCTGGGTATGTATTAAAAAGGTATAGGCATATCTGATTCACAATGAAAGAATGATAAATTAAACTCTTGTTTGCTTTGCTATGCAGCACACTTATTAAATTAGAACTCCAGGAACTTTTTTATTAACCCTTGCACTGGGGCTACCCCCGCACTGCAAGGGTTAACTGCTCTTTTGTGTCTAAATAAAAAAAACAAAAACAAAGATATACTCACCCAAAGCTCTGAGCCGGCTTCTTCTTAGACCTGTCCCTGGAATGTCTCTCCCCCTCATCTGCTGCAGAGTACTGAGACAGGCTGGAGAGCGCTGTGACACCTGGCCAGCTCAGATCTTTGGGTGAGTATATCTTTGTTATTTTAGCCCCCAGACAGAAATTAGCTCTTAACTCATCTTTAAATAAGGTAGCTGTGTTGCAATGTCCTTACACAAAGTCAAACTTTTTGTTATATACAAGAAATCTTATGTTAGGTTATTCGCTACGTATCAAAAGAATATAAAAAAAAGGATGTAAAACGTTCCATTTCAAACAAGTGTGATATTTTACAAAAACTTAAAAAGATCCATGTATGGCAGTATAAACAAGTACCAAATCCAGTTACAATGTGATGTACAAGCCTCATGACGTAAACATAAAACGTCTGAGCCAAATCTTACTTAATTTGTGTTTTATACGCTCCCCCTGCCAGACACTACAGCTCACAGTGGGAGGGTTTTAGCAACAGAGGCAGCGCTGTCAATCTAGAAAACAGTGGGCAGGACAAGGTGTGGCCAGGGGCTAATTGACAAGCTACAGGCTTGTAAATCAGCAGTGACCATGCTGATATGTATTTGTGTGACTTTCAGGTTATCTGACTATGTCTCCCCTTTCCCTTTGATTGACAGCTAAAGACTATTGTGCATATCTAGTAAAGTATATATTAATGAAGAGTCAGACAGTATTTATATAATTGTACAGTTTGAAATTTTATGTTTTTAATTGTTTTTATATACTTTGTACACAGGCATATACTGTGGGCACATTACTCCTGGTCCTATAGTTTCAGTTGGTAACAGGCTTTTTGTGATATTTACCACTAACAGCAAAACATCCGACAAGGGATTTGAGGCAAAGTATGAAGCTGTGGATCCAAGCAAGACACCAGGTGAGTACAAACACAAACATGTAAAGCAGCATGGACTTAAAGCAGATCTTAATTCTAAATGTGAACAATGTATAGTCCCCATACATGCCCCACAACATAACATAAAATTATATTTAGCATGCAAACGTTTTTTATAAGGTTTGGATTCATAGCAGTTCCTGGTCACAAGTTGTCTAGCCTGTCCACCTTGGGAGACTGATATCATCAGGCTTCACTCCATTGTTATTAAAAACACGTACGATCTGCCCATCTTGGACAGGCAGATTGTACTTGCGATAATCGCAAGCCCGCCCCGCCGAGGGGCGGGCTTCCGCTGAGCGCAATGCTGAACGGGCAGTGTGCGCTTGCGCACAACGGCCCGTGCGGCATTTATCTTACGAGCAGGCCACAAACCCGCCGACAATCGTACGATTCGAACAAGTTCCTAAGATAAAAGTTGTGCAACCTTACAGTAGAAATTGTACGATTGTGGGATTCTCCATGATTATTGTACGATTATCGCAAGGTGTGTGGGCACCTTTAGACTCCTATAGATCCTCCAGTCCTCCAGTTTCTTCTAACAATCCAAAAAACATGCTGGTGGCTTCAAGCCCAACTCCAGTAATTTGTCCTCCCGCACTGTGGCAGGGATTGATGTGAATAATAAAATGTACTTTAGGTATTATGCTAATGCTGTACAAATGTGAGAAATCAGTCGTGAAAAAGCCAATGGAATTGAGTTATTACTTTTTCAGGTCACAGAAAGTATAATATCTTTTGCCTATATTTATTTTCAAAGAAACAGCTTCAAAGGGGATGCACAAAGATATTTTAACATTGTGCAAAACTTTGCATCGAGATTTGCTTTTTAATATCTCATGTTAAATAGGACTTGGAAATGTTCTGGCTTATCAAAAGCAACCTTTAGCTGGGTACATTAAAAAAATACCAATCAGATAAGAAAACACAAGTCTGCTTGTAAACTGAATTTACATGTTGCAGGATAATAAAAGACATATTTGGAATTTGGAAAATTAAAATCCTCTAGGGAGGAAATTGAGGTCTACCATAGTCCATTGAGCCATCTTTGCTCTCAATATTTTGGAAATGCCGTAAGCAAAGGTATCCCAGAAAAAGTACCACTATTCATCTATAGTTTAGCATTCCTTTTATTAATGGAATGTGAAAATATTGTTCTTGCTGAACAGATTTATTATACAGGTGGAGCACGCATATACTATCTGTAAAAAAAAAAGTCAAGGCAACTGGACGTGCTGTATTTTTCTTGAAGATGTCTCACTGGTCATCCAACCAGCTTTCTCAATTCAGAATGACATGTACAAAAAATTATCTGGGAATAAATATGGTGAATGTTGCTCCAATCCACATAATCTGTTAAAGCGTTTTTGTTTTTTCTTTACACTTTTTGCATCGATCTACTGCTAGCTAGCAGTAGATCGATGCAAAAAAACCGGAGGCTTTAATTATTATTTAAGTGCTTGTTTTGTCTATGGGGCAGAAATAAAGAAGAAATACCCGATCCTCTGTCCCAACTGGCTGCTAGACCAGTCCACGCAGCCTCTTCTCCCCTGGGCTCCGGCGGTCTAAGGACCCATGACATCATCATGTCTAATGCAGTCCATTAGACATGAGAACACTTAGGGATATACCACTGTCGGAGTGGAGAGGGAGAAAGGTGAGCAGCCGCTGTCGCAGGTACGAGGATTAGGTGAGTATTTCTTGTCTATTTTTGCCCCTAGACCAAAACGAGTAGTTAACCCTGGCAGTGCGGGGGTAACACCACTGCAAGGGTTAATTTTTAAAAACCTGAGTTTTTCTTTCAATCAGCCCAGGAACACTGCTTGGAAAGAATAAACCAACAGAAATAAAAACAAACAGAGGGATTTCCATCAATTAGATTCAGAATTAATCTCAGAATGTCATTCAAAACTATGAACAATAGCATTTTAACATACAGTACATATGTTAGGTGGTGCTTAGGGGTATGTTGTTTATCTACTCTTAGTAGTTCCCAGTGCAACCTGCTCTCTCGGTGATGGGTGGCTTTTGCTAGTTAAGGGAGAGCATGTTAGAATATGTGACCCAATTTTATAGAATCTAGTGGTGAGAGGTTGTGCATTTGATCTCCGAAAGTGTTGCCATGTAGTCAGAGTTTGGAGTCTCCAATTCTAGGGGAATGTGGTGTTGCTGGTTCACTGTAAGGTGTATGGCCCTGGAATTTGAGAAAAGCTGCTGAGAGGAATGCAGAAGCATCTAAAATAAGAGTGCAACTCTGTCCTAATCTGATCACCACTTGAAGAAGGCTTTTCCTCTTCTGTATAGCTGGACTTGACCACCCTTTTATATATACGACATATACAAAAAAACGAATTATTAAGGGCCACTTTCCCTGGTTTGAACAGAAGGTTTACAGTTTAAAAACACAATTATAAATAGAATGGCTTCTACCCAACAATTGGACCTCTTGGTAGACAGTCCTACAGTCCTATCCAGTATTCAAAATTCTTGGCAGAAAGCTTTAGGTGCCAAGCCAACTCGGAATCCTATATTTCCCCCAATTGTCCAAAAATTGTACAGTTCCCCAAACCTAAAGGACACCTTAATGATTTCTGCATCCCAAACACTTACCCTAACCCTTAAACTGAGCCTTTAGCGCACAACACTTGCTTCATTCTTAATCTAATGTTTAGACATAAAGTGAACCTGTGCTTAGCTCATGCAGGGCTAAACAAAAAGTTCTTAGCCCTGTGATAGCAATAAAATTAAACGTACAAAAAAGTTCAAGGAAATTAAAGTCACATATAAAAAATAAGACCCCAATACATTTTTAAAACACCCCTCCAACCCCACATATGCGTGGGTGCACTTACATGCGGAAACCAAAATTGCGCTACATATGTTTTTTTTTCGGTACTCGCCGATACCAAATACTGATACTGGAAGTCCCATGAAGGAAGCCAGGCGGCGTGTAATAATTCGACGGCCGGCTTCCTGATTAGCCGTGCAGCTATCTCCGTGCTCCCTCATCACCAGGTATATTCTTAGGGGCGCTGTAAAGCTTTCTCGCACAGGGCACCTAAAGGCCTAAGGCCGTCCCTGTATTCTGCTTGTGTGCACTAAAATTATTTTTAGTCTAGTTTATCCTAAACATATTGATTTGATGAACATTTGCACAAATATCCTGTGACATAAAAAATTGCAACTACAATTTTTTAATTCTACAGGGTCTCTGCATTCAAAAAATATGTAATTGTTTGTGGGTTTTCTAGTCTAAAATTCAGATTGCATCGTGTGTGCAAACATTAAGCGATTGCTCTGGATGTGAACTTTAACAATTAATTATACCTGTCAAATCTATTGTTTTAGATATTATGGGAGGAGGAGGAATTTTACAAGGCAACACTGGGGAGTTCCAGTCCCCGAGCGCATATCGGAGCACAAATGATGTTCTGTACCAGGTAATTATACAAGCATGACAAATGGTTGTCCTTTGTGATGTGGCGGATCTCTCCTCTCAGTCCCTGAGTGCTGAAAGGCTTTTATGAAATGTTATATTGACTTGGCCTGTCTGGAAATGGGAATTGAGAGCAGGTGCGACCTTATTTTGCCCTTTTAATTGTGTCATATGGAAATTAGACTACAGCTGCATTCAATCAATCATAAGCAGTAATTATAGCACATATGACTGTTTATGAATGTAATTATCACTTAAGGTAAAAAATATTGCCTTGCTTAACAATGGATATCCATTCTCTGTAGCCTATAATTAAATATAAAAGACACAGTCAAATGTACACTACAATCAAAACAATAATTGAATTTTGAGAGACATACAGGGAACACAGCCTTTTTTGGTACCACTATGTAAATTCTATGTGCTGCAGGATAGCATATTGTACATCAAAACAGCACATTGGTGTGAACAGGCCCTATACAGGGCTTTTTGACCTGTCTTTGCGCTGGGACTATGTTGGGCAACACTGCCCAATGTAGTCCAACAGGGCTGGTGTAAACAATTCCTTCCTCTCTTCCCCAGTTGTGTTTATAATCATGGAACAAACATGCTGATGATGCTGGGAAATCCTTCTTTTGGCCTCCTACACAAAGAAAGCCTGTTGTAAAAGAAGCTTTTCACAACCACTTTTTAGATCCAAACCTGGTTTAGAAGTTGAATACATATTACAGACTTTCAGGGCCGGATTAACATAGGGGCGGGTGGAGTTGCGGCCTGGCCAAACTGACCCGGATCGTGGCCGGGCCGAGCTGATTATGCAGCTGCGGCCCTCTATTCAGGCATATCAGAGGGCCCTCAAGGGATAGCGGGCAGAGAGCCGCATCTGCTGCGGCTGCAGTCGTCAGTCTCTATGACCCCCTGGAGCCCGCACTGACCCCCCTGGAGCCCGCACTGACCCTCCTGGAGCCTGCACTGACCCCACCGGAGACGGCACTGACCCCCGATGGAGCCCACATTGACCCCCCCGGAGTCTGCACTGACCCCCCTGAAGCCCGCACTGACCACCTGCAGCCTGCACTGACCGCCTGAGAGCCCGCACTGACCTCCTGGAGCCTGCACTGACCCCCTGGGTCCCACACTGACCACCTGGGGCCCACACTGACTACACGAGAGCCCGCACTTACCCCCTGGAGCTCTCACTGACCACCTGGAGCCTGGAAAAACAGCCTCCCAGTGCTGAGGGCATGTGGCCTGGTATGGCAGGGAGCAGGGGGCGCTTGCTCATCCCCCCCCCTTTCCTCCCCTGCCAGGCCTGCGCTCAGATCAAGGTCCTGGCTGTGAATTTTAGGGGGGAACCCACGTCTTTCTTTCTTCATTTTTGGGGGTGGGGGTTCCTCCTTAAAATTCCTACCGGACCTTAAGGGCCTGGTATGACTTTGAGGGGGAACCCCACACACTTTTTTCTTAATTGTATCTTGGGGTTCCTCCTAAAAGTAGGTCTGGTAGGACTTTTGGGGGGAACCCCACATTTTTTTTCTTTTTTAAATGGCGTTCCCATTGAGTTCGAACTTTTTCATGTTCGTAACTTTAAACATCAAACACGTGGGGAATTCATAAAAACTGGAGCCATTGCCCATGGCAACCAATTAGCTTTTCTCTTCAGTTTGTTCAGTAAAGTTTTGAAAATGAAAGTTGGATGCTGATTGGTTTGCCTGCTCCAGTTTTGATAAATTCCCCTCACTGTGTTTCTGGTTAGTGGCTAAGTTTCCCACCACATTGTTTCTGGTTAGTGGTTTGTTTATTAAATTCTTATCTATTTATTTCTGAAAATACCATTAGTAATTATAAATTTGGAAAATGTGTTTTGCTTTCTATGGTTATTTTTAAACTTTTTTTTTATAGTGGAAAATCACAGTTGATTCTGGCCACCGAGTAAGGTTGTCCTTCACAACCTTTAACCTTGCCACTGCAGGACCAGTTGGATGTACAGAAATGGTTGAAGTCTTTGATGGAGAAGAAAAGGGAGCACAAAAATTGGGTCCGTTTTGAATATTTTCAAATTTTTCCATAGAAAGGAAATAATTACTTTATCATAAATGTGCCACAGTGCAACATCTCCATAGGCAAGAGAAAGCTGCATCACATCTGTTGTAATCAAGAGGACATACGGATCTGTCATGATTCATGATTATGTCATGATCTGTCATACAGTGCTCTTTGTTGAAATTAAACTATTTTTTTACTTATAGGACACTTTTGTGGAAAAGAAATTCCCGGTGCTGTTGTTTCTTCTGGAGACAGAATGGTTGTTCGTTATAGACCAAATCCACAGGGGGCTCGAGGAGTATTCCAGGCTAAATACATTGGATTTCAAGGGAGTGTTAGCCCAACTCAGAGCCCTACCACCACTAATAATATTGGTGACTATACCTTTATTTCATCTTATTTGCTGTGTACTGCAACTGTCAAATTCAGTAACTACACTTTGGGAATTCTAACAATGTTATTCAATGTCAGATTAGGATAAAACATGTATCCCTTTATTTTCTGAAGGCTTTTCAGAGGAACATAGCAATATTAACTGCCAACTAAGTTTCAAAATGTTGTTCTTTGAAGCAGAAACTATACCTTCTATCCTATACAGCCAAGGAAGGTTCCATCTTAGCCTCTACTTGGATTGCAGTTGCCATGGTGCAGTACATATGATCAGCTATGACAGCAGCCATTTGAGAGCTTGAAAGTTCAGTTGAGAGCTGAAATAAGCACACTGGCACCCTTGACAGTTGGCATGCCTTAAAAGTAACTGTTTTGGAAGACAGTTAGATTGGTGGATCTAGTTTAACTTTGTGGCCCCGTTCACACTGAGCGATTTATCGTGCGGTAATTCCTGCGATATCGCGGCTATTTACCGCGCGATATCGCTCTCCAATGCTTGGCAATGGGGCAAAGGGTCCTGCTGTCGCGGGTCGTGCGTCGCTACAGCAGGACCCTTTTTGGGGCGGATTTTGCCGCGATTCAATGCTTTTCAATGCAAGCATTTGTGCGATATCGCGTGACAAATCGCGGGATATCGTGCAAAATGCAAATTGCGCGACAAACGCGCGATTTGCGAATCGCGCAGTGTGAATGGGGCCTAAGAGTTCACAACACAGGTGGAACCATTATTGGGTTGCATAGCTGTGTTATATTAAAATAAAGATGTACATCCATCCAGCCAAACAGTCCAATGCTCCTCTGAAGAGGACAATTAAGCTCATTGTTGAGTGAAACATGTTAGAGAGTGGGGGTCCGGACAATCCTGTGTGTTACACAGTGTGGGGACCTCAGGGGTACGTATGCGTCTGCAACACAGTCCGATAAAATAAGCAGCTTTTATTTCTTCCAAAAACAAAACAAATAGCTTCCTTCAGCAAAATGGTAAAGTAACAGGCTTTCTTCAGCAGAACATCAAACATAAAGCAAAAGTCTTTCAGCATAGTGCGTTTTGGTGGTCTCACCTAGATAAAGTCCACTGGCCTCTGAGCAGCCACACACACAGAGCTTTCTGTGTGTCTCTCAGCTCCCACCTCCTCTCTCACCTGTGTTACCTTTTTAACAGGAAGGGCTGTTAAAAAGGTTAACTTGGGAGGGAAGTATCTACCCTCCCAAGTTAACCCCTTTTTAGCCCTCGGCAAGGTAGACTCTCCACAACAGATGTATTATTAATCTTATATACCGCCTTTTATTTTGGAGTATGGCTTTCCCTTTTTCTTACAATATATCCATCAAGCTTAACTTAAAGAAGAAAAAGGTATTACTAACTTTAGTATATCACGCTGTGAAAGCTGGTAACCAGTTATTAGTTATGAACTGATGAATAGATAATTAAAGGAGAACTATGACATGAGTGATTTCCACTCACCTCATAGTTCTAAGCCGACCTGTGACAATGAGACTGTCACAGGTCGGCTCAGTAGATCGGGAGGTGAGAGAACACATACCGGGTTCCCTCACCTCTCGATCCTGTCACGGCTCTCTGCCGTGACAGGGGGAGGGGCTGGATTCCCCTCTCCCCGCTCCGATCTGCCAGCGCTGACTGGCGGAACGGACGGGGGAGGGGGCGGGTACAGCTGGCTCTGCCTCTAGATAGGCAGAGCCAGCTGTCACTCACGCAGCTGGGCGGATCCCGTCATCTAAGTCGGGATCCGCTCCAGGTGCGGCGTCTCAGTATACCGCGAGCTGTAGCTCGCGGTATACTGAGCTTAGGGTAACGGGAGGACGCTAGTTTGTGTCCTCCCGTTACCCCAAGGAGAACTATGGGGAAAAACACTGACCCCATAGTTCTCCTTTAAGACAAAGGGGAAAAGGGTTGTTTTGCCGGATTTCAAAGATTAAATCTTCTGTGGACATGAGAAAATTACTGATCAGTAATTGAATTAAGGTGCCCATACACCTTACGACCATCGCAAGACTTTTGTCTTGCGATGGTCGTATGCTTATTGAAAGCTCGTACGATCTGCCCACCTTGGACGGGCAGATCGTACTTGCGATCATCGAAAGCCCGCCCCGCTGAGAGGCGGGCTTCCGATGACCGCAATGCAGAACGGGCAGTGTGCGCGTGCGCACACCGGCCCGTTCCGCAGCTATCGGACGAGCAGGCTAGAAACCCGCCGACAATAGTATGATTCTCGGCGGGTTTTCGAGCATGTTGGTTTGACAAAAGACGTGCGACCATACAGTAGAAACGGTCGCACGTCTTCGTTCACACTGCTCGATTCTCGTATGAGAATCGAGCACTGTATGGGCACCTTTAGGCCACTAAATCATTACAGTTATCTTGACCAATCTCTGGTAGATATAATTAATACCAAAAGTAAACAAGACAGAAAAAACAGGGGATATAATGCACTCATAAATTATATCCAAAGAAAACTCCAAAATCTTTCATAAAGAAAAAGCACATCAAACATGTCATTTACGGCATTCTTGGCAATTAATTGGCCTCCATCTCTTTTATCATCTGGGTACAGTACACTGATAGCTGATATTTTTACTAGATTTTGTACATACTCACTACATTTATCATTTACATTTCTTTTTAACACGTTGTTTGCCACACCTATTTGTATTCAGTTAATAATGATAGCGCTTCATAGTGCTTGATAACGTATTTCATCTTTTATGTTTATATTGGCAGATTCTGGTTGTGGAGGCAATTCTCTACAAGAAGGTCGTAAAGGCTTCATTCGCTCCATGAACTATCCAGACCCCTACTCTCCTAATCTCCATTGTAGCTGGAACATCTCTGTTACTCCAGGGTCACTTGTTAAACTGACATTTACTCAATTTGCTGTTGATGGGGAACTAGGATCATGTACAGGAGACAAAGTGGAGATATCTGATAGTGTAGATGCCATAGGTAACTATTATATATACATTATAAATCTTGGGGACAAAAATATACAACAACAGCCATATCCTATTTGTTTTATATTCTACGAAAACAATTTGTTAAAGGTATATAAATAATTAAAATGCATTCAATGAAATGTAATACAAAACTGACAACCTTTACATCTTGACAGTGCTGCAGAAGATGACTTTAGTTTCTGGATGTTTGTCAAATTTATTTTAGAGTGTTGATTCACTAAAACAATAGAATGTTCACTTAGTGTGGTGTGTTCACTCTGCATACTTAATCATGTGAAGGAGAATATAGAAAACAGGGGTTTTCCCATTAAATGATTGAACTGAGAACTGTAAACACATTCATCCTTTTGTAAATCTACTCCAGTGAGTTAAAGGGCAGAGTACAATAACTCCTTGCAATCAGTCTGCAGTCATCTTTAGGGTTCTGTGAAAATTAGAGAACAATTAAAAAAATCTGCTCAGTGCGTGATTAGCCCTATTTATTCCCAAATCCTGATATGCTGTACGACAATCCACTGATATTGTATATTGGTAGCTTCTTTCATTTATTTTTTAAGGTTTTTTTAAGTTTAAAAAAGACCATGTGGGGCATAACAGTTGATAGCTCAATGGCTGGAGGACTGCAGACATTCAGGCAATGGAAACAGTCTAACCACAAAGCTGCCTATTGAGGGAACAAACTTATTAACAATTACAGTATAGGAATTGGTCCATAGGAATCTTATAGAATCCAATTCTTCAAATACTTTTACTAGGACTTGGCTGAGCTGCTGGAGTGTTCTATAGTGCAATAAGAACAGCTAGTGAAGTAAGAATTCAGCCCTCTATTGTTCACCAATTGAAATGTCAAGGTTGGGTAGACCACCACTTTAATGATTGCTCACTGTCTTTGTGTTATTACAGGATTCTTTGCATTCTCATTTCAGGGACTTACTGTGGGTATTTGCAGCCTCCTTTAATCATTACCTCCAGCAACAAACTGTTCCTGAAGTTTTCCACAGATGCTGTGAGGACGGATCATGGTTTTGAAGCCAAATGGGAAGAAGTCCATGTGGATGACATTGAAGGTGCTTACAGAAGCACAATTACTTTACTGTTTATATCATCAATTTTCACAGACGGACTTTACAAAACCTTATGCGTCTTCTTTTTCTATTGCTTCTTCTTCATAATAATAATTTTTTTTTAATAATAATAATATTATAGTTCTGTAATTATTAGGCTTAGACATCAGTGCCCTGTATTGACAATAATAATAACCTATCTGCATACATATGTCTGCCCCTCGTTATACAACATAAAATCTTACATCAAAAACTTTACAGCAGAATTATTTGTTATTAAACTGTATGTAGAGCCCAACACTTTTTCATTAGGTTTGTATAAAATGTGGAAGGCCTAGAAACTTTTTAGGGTTGCCCCCTTTGGGAGGATTTTCTCTTTCTACTGTACTGGAGACTACTGTCTCCAGTACAGTAAGTGATGAGAAATCCAATATTTTTAAGTTGCCACATGAAAAGGAGATGATGGGAGATCTCACAATGGGTGAATCTTTTCTGGTGACAACTAAGTGTGGATATCCATTCACTGTGAAGGGATCTCTTCTTACTTCCTGCTGTGTCTCTGGGACAGGAAGTGAAATCAAACAGAACACAGTAGCAAAACAAAAAAATGACAACCGTTTTAACCATTCCATACACCACCCAAAACTACAAAGAATAGTTTTGGTTTTAAATACATTTTAAAAATGTAACTAAGTTCTGATAATCCCTTGATTATTATATTGCTGAGCTCTACTACTGTTAATTTCCTTAAAGTAACAATAAACTCAGGAGTTAAAAGAGAACTATGGGGTAACCTTTTTATCCCATAGTTCTCTTTAGGGTCACGGGAGGACATATACTAACCTACTCCCGTGACCCAAAGCTCAGTATATAGTGGGCTATTGCCCGCTATATGCTGAGTGCGCCGCAGCCGGGACGGATCCCGACAATACTGTGAGGATCCACCCAGCTGGCTGATTGACAGCGGGCTCTGCCTATCTAGAGGCAGAGCCAGCTGTGCCTGCCTCCTTCCCGTCCATTCCTCCAGTCAACGCTAGAGGATCGGAGAGGGGAAGGGGGGAAATCCCTGCGGGGAGCGATGACTGACAGTCACCACTCTCTGCAGTGAAATGAACAGGAAGTGAGCAAGCGCCGGTATGTGTTTGCTCACTTCCTGATCTATAGAGTTGACGTGTGACAGTTTCAATGTCACATGTCGGCTCTAACTATGAGGATGAGTGTATATCACTCACCTCATAGTTCTCCTTTACATCTTAAAAATGCATTCAAGTACCTTAACTATTAACAAAAATGTATCTTATTTCTGTATCACTCAGCTGTAGATCGTCAAATCATCTCTGAATTCGTGCTGACACTGTCCTTCCTTCTGGAGGGTGGCTACTTTTGTTCCCCATGGTCCCTGTGTGTGTTGTAAAGTATCCACACTCACTCCTGTTATGGACTACATTCTCATGTTTAGTTTACTAATTTGTATTGAGATTGTAGTCAATCCCAGGAGTAAGTTTGGAGCGGTGGCTACTTTACACACATGGACCATGGGGAGCAAAAGTTGCCACCCTCCAGAAGAAAGGACAGTGTCAGAATGAATTCAGAGATGATTTGATGATCTACAGCTGAGTGATACACAAATAAAATACATTTTTGTTAATAGTTAGGGAACTTGAATGTATTTTTAAGATTTAACTCCTGAGTTTAGTGTCACTTTAGCACTAGCTATACATGCTACAACATGATTATTCAATATTATAATCCTTTGAAATGTAATTTTTAGATATTACTTTACCTAAATGGGAGGTTGAGTCAATAAATGGTTGTGATTAGGAAAATGTAACAAATAGTAATTTTGGGAAAATTACATTAAATGTAACCAAATTAGCCTTTTTCTTTCTGCTAAATGACTGATTAGAGCAAAAAAAATGTTTAAAATGATCAAATCCATGACTGATCACTTATTATTACATGTATAGCTGACATTAAATTTTAGGCAAAAGAGTGCCCATTGGACACATTAGTAGGGATGATGATGAGTGTATTGGTTGACTAGGTAGACTGAAAATTGCCAGCATTCAGGGCAGTTCAGGGGTCCTTACCAAAACAAAAAAAAAAGGCCTGAGATGTCTTGAAAGCTTGATAATCTACACAGCCAATAAAAGATACCACTTATATTTGCTTGTGTCTATCAATACCGAAATAAATGCAGCATTGTGATACTAACATTTTATTTCTGCAAGTATGTGAAAATATATCTATTTCTATATTGGTATTACAGAACTCCAATCCTGTGGTGGGAGCTCCACTGAAGAGAATGGCGTGTTTAAATCTCCAAAGTGGCCTTACTCTTACGGGCCCAACAGGTTGTGTCTCTGGCACCTACAGGTTCCCCAAGGGAAAAGGGTGACCATTAGATTCTCTCACTTTGACTTGGAAGACCCAGACTTGATCAGCAAGTTGTGTTATGATTATATAGCTGCCTATGAAGAGGTTTCAGGAAGGACAACAAAATATGGTGAGTGTTTACAAACTAGAGTGAAAGAACGTGCTGTGGAAGTGTCACTACAGCAGCCTAGGAGATTCCAGATGATATTTTCAAGAGAGGAATACACAGTAGTAAAATATTGGATCCATAGGTTTATGCAACACCATTTTTTTTACATAGTGATAGAAAGCTATAGAGACTTACAGATCAACATTTAGAAGGTGTCTAAACCCAAGACCAAAAAAATATATTGCAGCTTACCAGTCTTCATACTGCATGTGGTGGCTGTGTTCTTTTTCTTTTTTTCAGGCTTTTTTCCACTTATTTTTACCTTGTGTATCTATGGAAGAGCAACGTTGTCAATCTAGGCTGCTTGTTCCTAATTTGAACTATACCCACCACTCTCTCTCCTCCATAAATATAAGGGATGTGTTTTGTAGTCCACTGAGAAGGGCTAATAAAACTGCAGTTCAATGCATCACAGGCAGAATGTAGAAGTTTATATTTTTAGCTTACAAGATTTCTGGACGGATGAAAAGGTATTTTGTGTTTGCAGTTATCAAACAGATATAACAAATGCTTTCAACTGTATATTTAACAGACCAAAAGGTTAGGTTTTACACCCACTTAGAGCCCCTTCACAACATTGCATTGTGGAAAAGACACAATATCTCTGCTATTGCACAACGCAATGCAGCGCTTGCTAGGTGCTCTGGTGAATTGCATTGCCATTCATTCTAAATGACACCTCAACACAGCACCGCACATGTATGGTGTGAACAAGACACATAAAAAACAATTGTGTTCTATGTTACCTGGTAGCACTATACATGTTCGTTGGTTATTTTCTTATTTTTTTTATATTTTTCTTACTATTTTTTACTTTATTTATTACTTTATTTTTTAATGTAATTATTATTAGTTATTATTTTTTACTTTTATTTATGTAATTTGTTTTATCAATTTTTTTCACCTAACTTTATTGCTATCACACAGGAGCTAACAAGTCACTGTGTGATAGCATTTGGAGGTGACAGGTTCTCTTTATTGAACCTGTCACCTCCAAAACAGGAGTTCTATTACAGCACTGTGCTGGAACTCCTGTGACAGGTGAGAGAGGAGGAGCACAGCTCTCCCCTCTCACTGTCTACATGGAGCGACAGGGTTACTTTTAACCCTGTCGCTCTGCTCACCACTCTCCATCCTGAAGACGGCGGCGAGGGCGAAGCCAGGAGGAAGCAGCATGGAGAGAGGTAAGTGCAGGGGAGGGAGGGGGCGGTGGGGACAGCCCGGCAGTCTAATTACAAGTGTTCTCTGCGACATCGCCGAGAATACTTGTAAAGAAACAAGTGATTTTTCCTATTCTACATTTAGTTCTGCTTGTGCAAAGCAGGGCTAAATGTAGAAAGTAAATTACCGCCCGGCGCCCTGAACTCTATGTTCCAGTTGTCTATGATTCAAGCCTGTGCCGCCCCTCAGCTCAGTGCCGCCCCGAGGCCGGGCCTCAGTGGCCTTTCCAGGAATCCGGCCCTGATTACACTACACTGTTTAACATGCAAGCATTTGACTGAAAAATATATCTGCTGCTAGTTCCTCTGTGAAGTAGCAATGATCAGACAAGCAGTTTTACATTAAATGATTATCAACAACATGACAAAGATAAGTGAAAATTATTCCAGAGGTTATTGGTGGTATTATATTAGGCATAATCTTGTTATTATACAGAGGCAATATTTAATATTTGCCGTGATTCATTCCTATTGGTGAGTTGCACTTATGGCACCTCTAATCATCTATTGAAGTATGGCTCAGTCAAAGGAAAAAATGGGCACGGTTCTTTTTGGACAAATGCTATGCAGCAGTGAAGATAGGATGGTTAGTATTTTATTATATAGGCTGCACTGAGGCTGGCCATACACTGTAATGTTTTTTTTGTTCAAACTGCAGGTTGAACAAAGAAAATATTAAAGATTCCTCCATCAATGCTTACGAGCGTTGATGGAAGAATCTCCCACTGTCTTCATTGTATTCTGACAGCAGCCACTGGCCTAAGCGAAGAAGCTGGTCGGAAAATCTTCGAACGAACAGAGTGGGCAGCCAATAAGCTACAACTTAGTTTGGGTATTCTGACGAAATTCGCAAACCTTATAGCCACCTTTAGGAAGGTGGAGGGGTTAGTTAAAGGGCATCATCACTAAAGGTGAAGTTATCATAATGAATTTTTATACTGTCAGTTACTTTATATAATAGAGACATTGTGCTGAGAAATGTAACATGTTTTTATAAAATAAGTATGCAAAGACAAATTAACTTGTTTGCTTGAAATCTTTTTGATATCTAAAACATTTTATATAGCAGTCTTACACTTTTTCAATTTACTGATATGCAGTAGCTCAAAATAATATTTGAGGCATACTAACACTGAACACTAAATGAACATTATCTAAAGTTGCGGTGTATGTATTTTAAGTGCACTTGCCATAGGCTTCTCTTCTTCAGGTTCAGGCTGTGTCTTGTCATGAAAGTTTACTGAGCTGTTTGACTAAGATTGTCACTTTACTTCATTTCAGTTAATGACTGGCCTATTGCCTTGTATGACAGAAAATGTTGAGTAAAGAGAAATACTGTAATATTTGCTTTTTGGTGTTCTTTACCATCATTAGGTCCATTCTGTGGAACTACAGTGCCAAACACTATTACTAGTCAAAGCAATATAATCACAGTCAGGTTCTACAGTGACCTCTTTACAGAAGGAAGAGGATTCCGAGCTTACTGGACTTCCAATCCACTGCAGGCACCTCCCACAGATGCACCAGAAGCACCCAATCCTTGGGACAGTATAACAATAGGTAATACCTTGCAGCCAACCTCCCACACATATACTGCTCTTTCATGGCGTTCATTGGTCACAGTGGAGGGAACAGCGCATGCCGGCCTCTGAAGCATGTCTCAACCTCAAAAGTCCAGAAAGCAAATTCAACTGCACTCCAATGACATCAGTTGAGTTAAGATCAACTTTATGCAGGCTCTACATGTGGCACACAGTCCTGTCTACAATGTACTCCTTTTTGATGCGTTTGACCCTTATGGGCTTAGTCAAAGAGATCTGCGTATCTCTATGACTATGCCTGGAAGGGTGAAATGCGTCAGCTAGTGGCAGACTGTGGTAGGGACTGTGCATCACACATTGAGCCTGAATAAAGTTAATTTTAACGTAAGCAATGTCATCGGTATGCAGCTGAATTTACTTTTTTTTTTACTTTTGTAATAGGTAATAGTTATTACCTTATATACCACTACAGAACTGCAGTATGATGCAGCTTCATAATAATTGTATCCTATTTTATATATGTAACTACCTACAACTGTCTATAATTAAAGCATCAGCTAAAAATGACAAAGAAATAGTTCTAAATACATAAAATAGGTCACATACGATAAGCTGCCAGGATTTTTCGTCCAGTATAAAGATTTGTTTGCACATTTAATGGCCAGTATATGATATGGTATAAACTATAACAGCAGGTCATTTCAGGAGGCCAGAGGTGGCTTGGATAATTTCCACCAATTCATGCTTTACTTGAAATAATGACAGCTGTCAAAAGAAGACATTGTGTGTCCAACACATCACTTGATATAACTATTTGCTCTGTATACTAGGTGAAAGCCCAATTCATGTATCACACATGTTTATATCTTTACAGTCCTGTACCCCCACATGTTGTGATTAATGACTGATTTTGTTTTGAAAATACCTTCAAATCTTTTTTTCCAGTAAAATGCTGCTTTATGCACTTCCACTCCAGTGCTCTGTTCTGGCATAGCTGTGTAATATCCACAAGTGTCCTTGCACAGATTTGTATTGCAAAATAAGAGTGTGGGATGTATCAGACCAGTTCTGTTAGTGGGAGCAGATCGCTGAGTGCAATTGGTCTAACTCTGGTGCCCATTGGACTGCAGAGTTATATTTAGACATCCCATAATAGAAGTCATCAGCACTCGATAATATGTGCAAGAAGTAAAGCACTTTTTACTGGGCGACATAGTGACACTGTGGCGACAAGTGAAGTGGAGGTAAACTATGAAAATGTTATTACAATGTTATTTTTATTTCATTTTTAAAGCTGGATGGTTTCATCTTACAAGGATAAACTGAAAATACTATCTACCAATGATTAACAATTTCTTCTGTGTACAAATCTCATGATCTGGACCACTCTCCCTGACATCCCTGCAGCTTCCAGTCTCCTCCTCATCCCTCCTCTGCTTCCACTCTCCCCCTCATCACCTCTCTGCTCCCACTCTACCCCTCATCACCCCTCTGCTCTCACTCTCCCCCTCATAACCCCTCTGCTCCCTGTCTCCCCCACATCTCTTCTGCTCCAACTCTCCCCCTCATCACCCTTCTGCTCCAACTCTCCCTCTCATCACCCCTCTGCTCCCTGTCTTCCACATTCCTTCTGCTCCCACTCTCCCCCTCATCATCCCTCTGCTGTGTCTGCATACAATCGTCCCTCTTGTGTATCTCACCTTCTGGATGGCAACCGGGGTGATCTCCCCCTTTTCCGACTGCCACAGGATACTTTTTCATTTTCACTGCCAAAATCCCAGACTGTACCACCTTCTATAATTGCCCATCATAATTTGCATATCAATTGACAGTTTAATTTATATAGGAATACGTCACTGTCTATTCACATGTAAATACCACTACCCATGCATATGTAAATCTAACGTCCAGCCGTATTTTTAGTGGTGGGCCAGGAGCTGGTGCTCCAAACACCCCTATGTTAATCAGATCACAGTACTTAACAGATACTAACAAGCAAAGGCCATCTTTACTTCAATGTTCCATGTAGTATTAGATATATATCCAATTATGTATTTTTATGTACTGTAATATGTTATTTTATGCATTTTTTTTCTATTGTTTGCAGAATGGCCATCCAAGTGTGGACAGCCCACAAATCCCCCCAAGATCAATACCAGAATAGTCAACGGAGAACAGGCTCTTCCTCACAGCTGGCCTTGGCAAGTGTCCATGCAGGTAAAGTAAGATTTTTAGCGCAAGACCAGAATGCAAAGAACACAAGTGCTTGGACATGATATAAGTCAGATTAACTGTCTTACTCCAGGGAAAGATTAAAATGAACATGCATAGGAGTGTTAGTGGAGAAAAATCATTTTCAATGACCAGCACTAAGTGTGCATGAAGAGATACTTTCAAACATCTGACAAGGTCAGGCATATAGATCAGAGTTCCAAATATTTCAGAATTCTTTTTTACGTCTATTATACCATAGCTTACGTTTTACTAAATCAATACATAAGTACTACATCTGTAGATATACCCCTGATGTCTCCATAAAGAGAAACACTCACCTCCAAACGCTATAACATAGGGGCTTGTTAGCCTCCGTGTGATAGCAATAAAGTTAACTGGAAAAAAATAAAAGTGACAAAAAAAGTAAATAATAGTAAAATAAATAAGAATTTGAAAAATGTAACCCCCCCCCCCCCCTCCAACATCTGCATATGGATGAAAATGCGCAAGTAGGGCATGCAAGTGTATGTAAACAACAATTGCGCCACACATGTTAGGTATCACCGCGAACATTGGAGTGAGAACAATAATTCTAGGACCATAATTTGCTGTGAACTCTTAACTTGATGAGCAGTAAAGGCCTTTAAAATGTCGCTTGAGTACCATGTTTTTTTGCCATTGTACGGGCACGCGCATTTTTAATGCTGTCATGTTTGGTATCTGTTTACTAAGGCCCGGTTCACACCTGGGCGTTTTGTAGCGCATTCCTATGCTCTGCAAAACGCTTAAACACCGAAATCCCATTATTTCCTATGGGTATGGTTCACACCTGGGCATATTATAGGCCGTATGAACGCGCTACAAAACGTCCTACGCCCAAAGAAGTACAGGAGCTTCTTTGGGGCGTATTCGCCGCGCGTATCCATTGGGATACAGCCAGGTAGCCCTCGGAAACGCGCGTTTGTCGTGCGTTTTTTTACCACGAATTTGCGGTAGAAACGCGCGACAAATGCGCATATTCAAGACGCCTAGGTGTGAACCCAGCCTTAGTGTTTGTTTTCCTAAAAATATTGATATTGATAAACATTTGTGCAAATAACGGGCAACATAAACAAATGCAGCTATAATTTTTTATTCTACAGGGCCCAGGAATCTAGATTGTAGTATGTGTGTGCAAAAATGACAAAATTGCTCCGGTACTATGGCGACTAAAGGCTAATTCCAACTTTTGCAAAAGATTATTAAATGAACCTACATTGATTTTAAAAATGTGCATTTATTTATTTTTTCTGCATTGGGGCCTACAAAGCATTGCAACTGCGATCAGTGGATTGTGGGTGCAGCGCACAGGCTCCTGCAGAATATTCCCTCAGTCAGTACTAGATACAAACCTTCCGTGATGGAGCTGGAGGAAGTTATCAGTGGACCACAAGTATGGTGACATCACTGCACATGTGCTCTATTAAGATCTAAGAGTCCCTCTGCTGTGGGGGCAGATGAGACTTGTAAACTTTGCAAACAGGGCAAAACACAGCCGTGCCAAATTGAAAAAAAGGATGATGCAATTCAGCAAGCGAGGGTTCAGTTTGAGGGTGGGGGGGCTGCGGTCTAAACTTAGGTGTAGCATGAAACATGGTCCAAAAGGTGGAATTAGCCTTTAAAATGAAATTCAGGAGACAAATATGCAGTATATCACCCCTAGTTAGCATACCATAGCCCATGTTACTTTCATAGTCACAAGCATTGTCACAATTTTCTCAATGTCATATTTTCAGGTTTGGCCAAGTTCCCGTAATGAAACAATTTTCTTCCATACATGTGGTGGCACTCTGATCCACAAGAACTGGGTCCTCACAGCAGCCCACTGTTTTATTAAGTAAGGCTGTCCTTCATTTGACATAAACATTTTTCATACTAGATTATGTTTCTTATATTACTCCTTTCTGTAAAGCTTAGCAATTGCTTTGTGTGTCATAAAGATAAATAGCTTAATGCATGTCTCATCGCATAGTCTTTCAGTTTTACCAGAAGCTGTCAATTAGATACTGTGAAGATTATTCTTTAAAACTGCGTATAGGTATTTGTGGGTTATTTTAGCACATCAATAAAATGCATAGCAGGATTTATGGCTGAATGTGGGGGCACAGGGGAGGAAACGTGAACCATCATGACCATATCTGTGTAAGGTATCCCCAACACAACAAATAGGAATCTAGTATTTGTCTGTCTTGGGACAACAAAGGATGTTTGTAGGGAAAGAATCCCCTTCATCAGATGATACCCCTTAAAACCTAATGGATTTAACATGTGTGTTTCACTGAAGTCACTAAAAAAAATTCACTGAACCCCTTATTTAAAAAAGTATATTTAGTACATTTCTGCAATACATTCATATATCACCATGTTTTAAAACTTTTAAAGTGCTGCGAATACAGAAAAATACCTCTTGATCTACGAGAAATCTATTGTGTTCCTAAATTTCTGTCTGGACTATTAACACAATGCCTTTGCTGCACTGAAATCTTAACCAGCGTTATTAGCCCTGCCTGCTGGACTACAGAACTCCACCTTTCCCCCACTCCCTCTCTGTCCCTCTCCATATGCAAGCATCAATTTCTTTCTCTGCTAAACAATCCTGCCTCCTTGAATACCAACGGATTCCGCTTTCACTTTGAGTAGAGAAAGGGCTGTTGAGAGATGTAGTTCTGGTGGCTTGCCTATGTCAATAGGAACTGAGCTCCCAGCAGCTGTCCCTGCAGAAGTGTCACAAGCCTGGTGACGATGTTATAGGTTAAAAAAAAAGCTGTTTCTTGCAAGAGGAACAAGGTAAAAGAAAAAAACAATGCTGGGGCATGGTCTAGAGCCTTGGTTCTCAACTGGTGGGTCGTGACCCAAAAGTGGGTCGCGACCTCATGTTCAGTGGGTCGGCACATGCTTTCCACTTTTCTAGGTGAGAGGCTCCTCTGCCTCCCCTTATCGCAGCACCGTCAGGTCTCTCGCCAAGCAGCCATTCAAAATATGCTGCTCGGTGCCGAGTGTCAGCTTGAGGTGGGATGGGATGGGGGGTATGGCAGTGAGGGAGTAACATCCATACATGTATTGCTTATAGTTCCCTCATGTGTCCTGTAGAGGTGCCTGGACCGAAGTGACATCACATTCTGGCTCCCAGCACCTCTACAGGGCGTGCAAGGGAGCTGTACAAGCAATGCACATATGGATGGAGCTCCATCACAGTACAGCAGCCCACACTGGACCCCAGGATGAGGATCCACTCCAGTTCTCATAAGGAAAGGAGACTGGGTGGATCCTAAAAAATGTTTGTAGTGTGTACCCTAATTCTGTGCATTTCATTGCAGTGTGACTTGGGTCGTGACTTGATGACCAAGGATAAATGTGGGTCCTGAGGTTACACAGGTTGAGAACCACTGGTCTAGAGGGTGGAAGCAAATTTACATAATGCCTGGACTTACAATTTAAGCTTTATCATGTCTACAAGTGTGTGTGTGTATATGTGGGTGCACATGTGTGCATGTATTTGTTTCCATGTATGTATCAGTCATACTCTTTGAAGACATAACTATATTGCACTTTTATCTTTCAAGCTATGCAGATGAGTTATATCGCTGGCAAATGTGTCTTGGGAAACACAACCTAACACAGGTGGAGGCCACTGAGAGATGCTACAAAATTCTCGGCATCTACCGCCATGAAGGATTTGTGTACCCTGACATTCCTGCACTGGAGTATGATATTGCCTTGGTGAGGCTAGATGGTGAAGTGGTTGCCAATGATGCTATCGATTTTGCTTGTCTTCCTCCAAACGATCAGGTCTTAGATGCAAATTATCGATGCCATGCCACTGGATGGGGGGATGAAACAGGCAAGTATTGTGTTCATCTTGTAATTACAAACATTACAACTGCAAAAAGACTTGTATAAAAATGCACTGATATTTTAAAGCTGGACTTTAGGCAAACCACTAAATACACATACAGGTGAAACTCGAATAATTAGAATATCGTGCAAAAGTAATTGCAGTAAGTTCTGCAAAAGGGGCCCAAACCAAGTACTGAGTACATATGCATGCTTGTACTTTTCAGAGGTCCGATATTGTTCTATGTACAATCCTTGTTTTATTGATTGCATGTAATAATCTACTTTTTTGAGGTTGTGGATTTGGGGTTCTTGGGGTTTTCATGACCTGTAAGCCATAATCATCCCAATTATGACAAATCACGGCTTGAATTATCTTGCTTTGCATGTAATGAGTCTATCTCATATATTAGTTTCACCTTTTAAGTTGCATTAGTGAAATAAATCAACTTTGCACGATATTCTAATTATTCGAGTTTCACCTGTATGTATAAACTGTCTGATCTGCCAGAGGATTTGTGATTTTGTCCAACCAGTTCTGTGATTCACACACTACTGCCAGGCAGAACAGTAATGAGAGGTGACGTCACTTTGTCTGGTAAGAGTTAAATCTGCACTGCAGCCAACAGCTAAATATGCAGATGAAGTTCATATAAGGGAGTTGTTTTATTTACCAAAGGATTTGTATTTTTGCCCACCTAGTCCTGAGATTTACACAGCTCTACCACATAGCACAGCCCTGTTTTGCCGGGCAGGAGACCTGATTTTTCTCTGCTGTAGAAAAGTAACATTTAAAGGCATGTCCCTTCCTCAGCCTGTAGCTGCTTAGTGAAAGAAGCACTTGACTAATGAGTTCATTTTATGTCACTGTGTCCTTCTATCAGTATATCCCTTGTTAGCATGGGCACTTCAGCACAAGTGACAGGCTCCTTGTGCTGCTTCTTCCTCTCTCAGTATGAGCTCTGCCATTGCAAGAGGTTGATACTAGGCCTAATTCAGGTACCTAAATGGCTTTCATTAAAAAAAATACAGTTAATGATGTATTAATAAATATAAATCTGCATTAATGTGTGCCTTTATATTTGCTTGGAGTTCAACTTTAAGTAATGCAGTGGTAATACTGTGCCCACTGCCCAGTGGCGTAACAACCGGGGGTGCAGCAGGGGCGCGGGCCCCGGGCGAAAAGTGAAGGGGGGGCGCCGGCCGAAAATGGCACTTTCGGCTAAATGCCGAAAGTGACATTTTCCT